ATGCATCATTTTTAAAGTTCCTGATGAGTTTCCTAGATCAGTGTCCACTTCTTCAGAGAAACATTAACATACTGTATGTTCAAGGTCTATTTATAAGCAATTCACAGAGCTATTCACCGTACAAATCTCTGTAAACAGTTGTACTGTACGGACGTTGTTAGAATATTTTCTTTTCAGGTCGAATGTAATATTTGGAAAGTACAGTATTATGGCCACTAGATGTAGCTGAGGAGCATAGGTACTAAATACTTACATTATGTGCTCTTCAGCTCCATCTAGTGGCCATTATGTTTTAATTTCCAAATATTACATTCAACCTAAAAATAACATTATTTTTTTTCTTCCATTCCCCAGAATTAACTTTCAAAGATTCATAGGGCGAATGGCTCTGCAAAATGTTTATGAATAGAACCCTTAGTGTTAGCATACCAATATTAATATGGTACATGCACATCTGAATCTGAGGCTTTTTGTTATATGTGAAATGCTATTGTTTATAGTATCTAGCAATCATTGTGCTTTTTTTCCCCAAAAAAAGATTGATGTTTAAACCTAAAATACAGATTCTTTATTTAACAAAATGCTGAAATTATTACTTTTAAAATTGCAGTTTACGGTGATGTCCATAGACTTCAGAAGGTGGTCAGTTGAGATGGTCCTCCAGCTGTGATGCAACTACAAATTCTATCATGTATCTGCCTCTGGAAGTCATGCTTGAGGCTGTCAGAGTCTTGCAGATTCACCACAGCTGCAGTGGCGAAGTTTGGCTACTCCTGCTCTATGGGCTGCTACATAACACTTGTACAACCACCTTCTGAAGTCTACGGGCATCACTAACCACCTTCTGAAGTCTACGGGCATCATTATGCTAAGTTTGGCTACCCCTGCCATAGGGCATACAGTTGGCTGTCTGGACTTACAAAGGTACATTTTAAAGGGAAGGTGGCTGAGCAGGGACAGGGAGCTGATGCTGACTTATCAGCTAGAGAACAATTGTAACTGGAACAGTTTTTTTAACCTGCTGAATGGGGCCAGTCATGGAAATTAGATCATCATCAAACTATCTGACAAAAATCGACAGGCGAAATACCGCATGTAACGTATAACGTGGACCTAAAGCATTTTGCATATAGATATACATACATAGACTCTAGACACAGGAGACAGTAATTGGATCTGGCCAAAGTCGCCATACTACACCGTGGCATTGGCTTTACAATCTCAATAGAAACTAGTAGTCCATCACTGGAGCCTTTTTTTTTTATCCGATTAATCGATTAATCGAACTTAATAATCGGCTAACTAATCGATTATGAAAATAATCGTTAGCTGCAGCCCTAGCTTACACTGCCACAATATATATAAATATACACACACACACACATTTACACACACATATATATACACACACACACACACACACACACACATATACACACACACATACACATAGTATATGCCCTGCCCTAAGGACTAATGGATCATCACAATCATATGCCCTTTATGGTCTATTGGTAGCCCTACCCTAATAATGTATACTTCTAAAAGAACTAAAAATGCAGAAATAATCAGTCACTACAACAAAATCCATACAGCACAGGTAACAAAAAGAAAATACACATTTTTATAATGTTTTAAAACGTAAAACATACCTTTATTTCAAATGAATACTGCGTCAATTCACTAATGCATGCGGTATTTTCAAGTGGAAGTACAATAAAACAAATGAAAATTGGCTAGAAGCTATTTTTTTTTGGCAGAAGATACATGCAAAGTCTCTTCTGCAAAAAAAGTTCTCCCTCTTTCCCTCAATTATTTAAAAAAAAACTTTTGTGTACACTGGTAAGATGCCGTAATTTTGCCTGATGCTGGGGGCGATGTAACTCCTGTGCGCATTTGCAGGAGTTAAATCATCAGTGGCCACTCAATGGCCAAGGAGGATTCCCACATAACCCAGAAGTGGTGGAGGCAGAGATGGGGGGGGACCGAAGATGCATTGCACAGAGCTGGAGAAGGGCACAATGTGCAAGTATGCTGTGCACTTCAGGGCGAAAAAAAACCCATGCAATACACAGTGTACTACCACCCCAAACAACCATATGTTTCTATTTTGTACTAACGAAAATGGTTTTAAACTCAATAAAGATTTTTTCCCACAAGCCAGCAGGATTTACCACAAGTATGTTACTTTATCATTTTAGGGGGGATATTCTGTATATTTCAGTCATTTCACAAACATTAGTGACAATTGTGTGGTTTCTATGAGGCGTCTTTTGAGAACAATAGCATTACCTTTCATGTGAAAAAAATACCAATGAATAAAAAAAAAAAAATACAATTCAAATTAGATATTTAACTGTTGACTCCTTCATGCATCAAAAAAGGATTCTGCATATATGAAATATTTATGTTTGTAAACTAAAAGTTTTGATGAGAAAACCATAGATGGCCATTGATAAATAAGTGAAAAGGTTAGTGAAATGACCCCAAAGACAAACACTATACCAGGATCTAGGATCTTCAGGAGGGATCTGTTGGGGGTTTGAGCCAGAACAATAGTTTAAGGTAGGATGAATAGAACATTCCTGCCCACATTTCCTAAAGCAGTGCTGGGGGCTCAAAGAGTAAGAGCAGCATCTGTCTCCTTGCACCAGGACTGACTCTGAGTGACAGATGTTTGTCAATAAACTTTTCAACTGAATTGCAAATATTTGTCTAAAGCTAGCCACAGACAACAGAGAATGGCTGAAGAACAATCTTACTGTATTACAATGACTTTTGGTACAGGTTTTGGCTAGATTTGCACAAGTATTCCTGCAGAGGCTAATAGGAAGGGGGAAGGTGTGGTTTATATGCTTATCCATCATCTTATCATGGTGGAAACCATAGCATTCAGAAAAACTTTTCGAAACTGTCCAATCCCTTGTCCTTCCCAAGATTTATTTTAGTACTGTTTGAAACTGCCCAGAGACTTGAGATAAAAAATATCTGGGAGTCTGTCATCTTATACCTAATGGCGACCTTAAAGCCCAACTCCAGGGACAATACAAGAGTGAACTGCTTGGTAAGTCCACTGATGCAGGGATAATACTTACTTTACTCCTTGCTATGGCAGGTTCCTTCCATCCATGTGGCCACACCCGAGAAGCCTCTTCAAAAGGGTGCTCCTGAATATGATCACTCACTTGCCTTCTCCACATACAATGCAGAGTTAATAGCCCTGCACTGTATGTGATGATGTTGAGGGACTGCACAAAGCCCAGAGCGTGATGGAGAGGAGGAAAGCACTGGAGCCTGCAGATGTGGGTGGGGGCAGATAAGCAATATCTCCTTTGTACCCCCTAGACCAGGGGTCAGCAACCTTAAACACTCAAAGAGCCATTTGGACCCGTTTCCCAGAGAAAAGAAAACACCGGGAGCCACAAAACCCTTTTGACATCTAAAATGAAGATCACAAGGCATATATCGTTTTTTACCTTTATGCTATGTATGGCATGTATATAGGTATATGTGGACTTAGTAACGCACTGGACTCTGGGCTTAGTAACGCACTGGACTCTGGGCTTAGTAACGCACTCCCCCGCGCTCCTCATCCGGATTCAACTGCCAAGCCTCACAGCCAGCATCCCAGCCAGACGGTGTGCACTGGGGGGGGTGGGGCATGTGACACACACTTCTCCTCTCCCGCCGCCTGTTACTAGGGACGCGGCCGGGAGAGGAGGTGAGTCACAAGACCTGCCCCCTTACTAAGAAGCCCGTCGGCAGTGCGGGGCCCTGGGACTCTGCCACATATTCCACCAGGGGGGGTGCCCGGACCTCACTGGGCCCCCCCACAGCCTGGGGCCCCAGGGGTAGTTCCGCCCCTGGACAGGGAGCCGCAGCAGAGGGATGAAAGAGCCACATGCGGCTCCGGAGCCGCAGGTTGCTGATCCCTGCCCTAGACCTTATGAGCACTTAACCCTTGAAGTGCAGGGGAAGGGGGGCCCACTGCAAGAATTTTTTTGTCTCATGCCTGGAGCTGGGCTTTAAACATTTGGTTTGAAATGCGGGCAGCAAAAAGCTTATGCTTTTCATGAAACCCTGCAACTAGGCTTATAGCAGAGCTCCAGCTATAGAAATGTATATATACTTACATTGGTCCAGCTTGACACAAATGTAAATATATATAAATGATCCCCAGCAGGGCCACATGGACGCTGTAAAGCAATTTAGTATCAGCAGCAACTACAGGTCCAGGAACAGTTGCTCTGCTGAGCGACTTCCCTTCCACTGTTAAAACACAGTTGGTTGCTCGGTACAGTGGCCATTCTTTTCACAATGAATGCTAGTCATTCACTGATTGGACAAAGGGCAGTGTGCCAAGCTAGACCAATGTAGGAGTCTATAAATTACTATGCCCGGAGTTCCGCTTCAAGTCAGGTCAATTACCTTCCACCTTAATGTGGAATCGATTTTAAAAAATGAACGCAACCTAATTTAGTTGACTTCTAAAAGGACATTTGGGAGAGAATGCAACCTCTTGTCACATGATTCTGAGCTGTACAACCGCTCTAGAATAAATTGGGGCTTTAATCAGAAGGCAAGCAAAGCACACAGATGCCTTTTATAAATGTGCTGGCGTAGCTTCTAAAGAAAACATATATACATGACCCCCACACTTTAGTAATGTTGCTTATCAGTCATAGGACTGTTGCAAAATAGAAATTCTCTCATTTGCATGTTATCTTCTCTCCCAACAACAATGAATATGAATACAGTTATTGGTACAACTACTCAGATTATTATTTGACACTGATCTTTTTATTCTTCTATAAATCCGCTACTTTGCCCTCTCTAAAAAAAGCAGTTGCTTATTGTGAAATGACACACGAATTTTACCAGTACATACTGTATATGAAACTGTGTCTTCACATGACATGCATGCCTTTCAGCTGATAGAAAGCAGGTGTCCACAACATCCAAGTGAATTGATTTCTCGAATCAGGAGCTTTCCTTATTCATTATTTCCAGAGTTATTATGCGTCTCCTCCAGATAACAGCATTCCCTTAGGATGGCATTGCTGGCATAGTGGCTCTTTGTTGCCATATCCATAGCAGTCGGGCCCCACACATTGACAGCATCCGTTATGGAACCAACGGTACCTCGAGGAGCCGGTAACTTCACAGGACTCCTGGCATCTTTTCATAGTCATACAGGGTTTAAAATACATCACTGTGCAAATGGCAGCTACATTCACAGAAGGTGGGGAAGGTAAAGCTAAAGCAGATAAAGGAAAAAGAAAAATGTGAATTTGTAAAGGCAATAAATGCCTGACAGGATTATTATGTCTTATAATGTATGTGTGTATTCCAGCACACAAGATGCTGCAGATTTGTCAAGTCATGCCACACAATGCAAACAATAATGGAAGTCACCATCACTCAATTGTATGCATGAAGTATGAACACCGAGGAAGGGACCCTGCATGGCCCCGAAATGTTGGCTTGATGCCACATGTGACAAGTGAATAAAATACATGCATACAATTGAGTGCTGGATGATTTCCATCATCGATTGCACTGTAACACGGCGCCATCCGTGTTATCACTTCAAGCGCCAAGATCTGAAGCTAAAGGTCTGTACACTGTATGGAGTGCAATACTGGATGCCACACCATGCAGTGCACACCGGTATTAAAGCAGAACTCGAGAAACAAAAACTTTCATTTAAATATATTCCTTAAAGAACTCCGGGCAAAAAAGGTATTAACCCTTGCAGTGGGGCTACCTCTGCACTGCAAGGGTTTAGTGCTCATTTTGGTCTAGGTACACAAATAACAAAGTTATACTCACCCAACCCTCGGAGCAAGCTGGCTGTTAGAACCGGTCCTTATCTCACCCTCCACTGCAGTGGTCTAAGGATTCTTGAGTCATAGCGTTCTTTGCACAGTGAATAGGACGTGAGGACGACAAGGGACCTACCATCACTGGAGAAGAGGAGGAGCCAGCCAGCTGCATGGTTCAGGGAGTATAACGTTGTTATTTTTGCACCTAGACCAAAATAAGCACTTAACCCTTGCGGTGGGGCTACAGTTTTGCCCGGAATTCTTCCTTAATGGCCACAAAGGATACAAGTATGCTTTGTCTGCACCAAATGTCTTTGCAAACCCAGAAATAACCTTGTAAAATTAGTAGTGACATCATCAATGTGCTGTACATATCATGTGCAGAGAGCAGAGCTGTGGGAGGGAGTCAGCAGGCTTCACCCACTACAGGCTGCTTACAGAAAACTACAGGAGGGGGCGAAGAAACGACCAGTCACCCTGCACAAGGAGAGAGAGCAGCAGTCTGGTCTTTATTACAGGAAGCTTCTGCACAAAGGCAAAGATTCACACTGAATTACTGCACACATCAGGAAGAAATACACAAAGCACACCAAGATTCAAGTAAGAATACACATGCCTCTTGTACTTAGACAATATATAACAATGGCCACTACTCCCTACTCTTGCTATTAGACCTCTCTGCTGCTTTTGACACTGTTGACCACCCGCTCCTCTTCAAAAAACTCCACTTACTTGGCCTACAAGACTCTGCTCTCTTATGGTTCTCCTCCTACCTATCTAAGCGCTCCTTTAGTGTCACCTACAAATCTAACTCCTCCCCTCCTCTTCCTGTAGGGGTTCCCCAAGGCTCTGTCCTTGGACCCCTTCTCTTCTCTATCTATACCTCCTCCCTTGGTCAGTTAATAACCACACATGGCTTCCAATACCATCTTTATGCCGATGAAACTCAAATCTATATCTCTACTCCACAACTCACCCCCTCTTTGTCCTCTCGTGTCACTAATCTACTAACTGACATATCCATCTGGATGTCGCAACACTTCTTAAAACTCAACCTTTCAAAAACTGAGCTCATGATATTTCCTCCTACCCGTGCACCTTCCCCCAACTTTTCCCTTGAGATTGTTAACACAACTATCCAACCCTCCCCCCATGCCAAGGTCCTAGGTGTCGTCCTTGACTCGGACCTCACCTTTCTTCCCCACATCCAATCACTATCCAAATCCTGCCGCCTTCACCTTCGTAACATCTCCAAAATACTCACCAATGAAACCGCTAAATTACTCATCCACTCCCTTGTTATATCTCGTCTTGACTATTGCAACTCCCTCCTCATTGGCCTTCCACTACACAGGATATCTCCCCTTCAGTCTATCATGAATGCAGCTGCTGGACTCATTCACCTAACCAACAGCTCAGTGTCTGCAACCCCCCTCTGCCGATCCCTGCACTAGCTTCCCGTCACCCAAAGGATAAAATTCCAAATATTAACAACCGCTTACAAAGCCATCCACAACTCTGCCCCAGGTTACATCTCCAACCTTGTCTCAAAGTATCACCCTAACCGTCCCCTTCACTCTTCCAAAGAACTCCTGCTTTCCAGCTCCCTCCTCAACTCCTCCCATGCTTGGCTCCAGGACTTCACTAGAGTCTCTCCCATCCTCTGGAACTCTTTAACCTAACCTGTCCATCTATCTCCTAAAGACTCATCTCTTCAAGGAAGCCTATCCCACCTCAACCTGACCACTGAACTATCACATTCTCAAACAATTCATCCACACAGCTACCTCCTCATGTATCACTTCCCCCTCCCTTTTAGATTGTAAGCCCTCACAGGGCCCTCTTTACAATCTTGTATTGAATTGTATTGCGATTGTAATATCTTCCTTATATTGTAAAGCGCTGCACTGTTGGTGCTTTATAAATCCTGTATAATAATATTAATAATATTTGCTTATGATATATTTATTCATTTATTATAATCTCTCTCACACTCTCTCTCTCTCTCCTATCTCTCTCTCCTTGTATGAAGTTGCTAATCTGTTGCTTCTTTTCTTTTTTACTAAAAGGGCCAGATTTGGTTTTCTGCACGCAATTTGGGTAATAACTTAGCCAGTGCTGAAAATGAACTTATCTGCATCTGTTTAAAAAGTGATCCCTTCTGTGAACACTTCTTAGATCTGTGACAATTCTAATGTTCATTCTCATTGCTAAATATGTTCTCGACAGTAGGGGCACAACTAAGAAAATAGACATACAGGCTCTTTTTGGCCTCGCAATCATGTGGAATGAAATCTGTCACTTGGATGACAAAACAGACAGAAAGATGAATGTTCACATTTTGCATGCAAATTGTACATTCATTAATACAGGACTATACACTGAGTGGCTAGATTATTATGACCACCTGACGTTTGTAGGCAGATTACCTATAATTAGCTATAATTTCACGCTGAAGTTGCTAGAGGGCCAGACGATTATAAATAGGGAAGCAGGTTGCGATTTAACAGCCTTTGAACGTGGGATGATTGTTGGCGCTCGGAGCCATAGAGCAAGTATCAGAAAAACAGCAGAATTCGTTAAATGTTCAAGAGCAGCTGTTGTTAAAGTGTTTAAAGACTGGACTGCCAGCCGAAAATCTGGGTCTGAACGTGCGAATTGTGACCGTCAGCGACTAGTCAATATTAGGGCAGAACGGAGAGTGGCAAGACTGGTACAAGACAACAGAAGGGCAACAGTGCAGTGTCAGATTTCTCCCATCACCTTTCAACATCCCGTGGAGTCACGAGGCGGCCCAACGAAGTACTGGTGGGGTGGTCATAATAATCTGGCCACTCAGTGTACAAATAAATGTCCCCCTGAGAGTCTTATAGTAGAACATTTAAAACTTGGCCATTAAAAATGTTTTTCATTCTTAAAAAACTAAATGTTTGTTAGGAGAATTCAAGGGCAGTTCTCCTTCCCCTACTTTCAGAAATAAAACCAAGTAGGCACAGGAAAAAAAAACAATAAAAAAACCTCTGCTATAGAAATAGCAATGTTGAAAAATAGTTTTACATTTGTGAATTGACTGGAAGTAAAATGGAAAGTATGTTTTTTTTTAATTCCTGTGATTTAATGCAGGTTACCTTAATTTTGTTATGACTTACATTTTGACATGGTTGCTCTTTTATGTTTTGTTTTGGTATTGTAGTGATTCATAGATTAGCCACAAGAGGGCGCAAACACTCAGCATGTGATCCTTCAGCCCCCTTGTCCCAGCCCACATCTATGACTGTATTGCGATCTTCAGTGCACTTCAATTCCGCCTGTTGTGTTTTAGATTTGTTTTGTAAGATTAGGTAAGATGCGTTGAGTGGACTTTGGGAGATTTCTACTCACTATCTCCTTATTTGACCAATGTCAAACAGAGCAGGAAATTAGAAAATCTCCCCAATTCCTGTCTATTTAAAGGAGAAGTATGAGGCGAGTGCTTTTCACTCACCTCATAGTTCTAGCCGACCTGTGACAATGAAACTGTCACAGGTCGGCTTAGTAGATCGGGAGGTGAGCGAACACATAACGGCGTTCGCTCACCTCTCGATCCTGTCACGGCTCTCTGCCGTGACAGGGGAGGGGCTGGATTCCCCCAGCTGTAGCTCGTGGTATACTGAGCTTAGGGTGACGGAAGGGCGCTAGTTTGTGTCCTCCCGTTACCTTAAGGAGAACTATGGGGAAAAGCACTGACCCCATAGTTCTCCTTTAAGATGTTAGACAGAACAAAAAGTGTGCGAAATCCCTCCAGTGGGGACACTCATGGCAATAAAAACACATATTTTCAAGTCAAGAAGACCTTGTTTCAGATTTTATTCTTCGGTGTGCCCATGAGAAAGATTTCCCCTCACTTCTTGTCCAGGTAACAGCTGTAAGCGGAAGTCTCCTTAAAGTCTATTTCCACTTTTGCAGTCAAATTGGGATAACACCTATTTTCTATTTGTTACATATTCCCATTCACATCGCATAAGCTAAAAAGAATTACAATAAAAATGCTTTTGGTGGTTTAAATAGCTTTACTTGGGTTAGGGTTTCTTGACTTCCTTAGGGCCTGTTCACATGATATCAGGTGCGGATCTGCAGACGCGGTGCTACTGATGCAGTGCGTTTTGGCCGCGTTTTTGATGCGTTCCAGTTAAAAAAGTTTTTTTTTGCTGTAGTGGGGCTGTCAGTATGTTAGCTGCAGTGCAGTGCGTTTTTGACGCGTTTTTGAAGCGTTTTGCGTTTCCGGCCCGTTTCCTGACCGGACAAAATGTGACATGCAGTATTTTTTCTGTCGTAACCTGAACGGACTGCGCACGTGAGAACTGTACCCCATAAAACACATAGGGATACATTGGGATGCATTTTTAGTGCAGGAGCGTACGGAGCCGGTCAGCACAGAAAACAGACGTCGTGTGAACAGGCCCTAAGGGTTACAATTTATACTTGCTTCTTTTTCTTTTGTAATGTTAAGAGAATATTTGAGGGGTGAGGGACTTCCCCATTGTATGTTACTAATTAAAACACAATCCGTAAAATTTCCCTTTTAAGCCTTTCTATAAATGACAGATCACTCTGAAGGTGCTGAGAAAAAAAACTGGAATCAGCCATGTTGCCTGCTGCAATAAAACAGCTAAAAAGGTAAGAATTTTTTTTTTTTTTATTTATATATATATTTTTGGGTATACTGTGTGAATTGGAATGCATAACAAACATATAAAGGGGTTTTCTCAAATTTGACTGCAAAAGGGGAAATACACTTTAAAGTTGAACAAGAGGCTGGGGGAAAAAAACCCTTGCAACCCTTTAAAAAAACCTGACAGAAAGATCTCCTCAGCAGCACATGAATGAGTTTGTTCTAATACTAAAAGGAGTTTTTGGTGGAATATGAAGTGGTGCACGATCTGGCTCTAAGGCTGCATTCACCTAGGCGACAGCATTTTCACGTGTATCTGCTAGCGTTTTCGCTGCACGATTTTGCATGTGGTTTAAACACGTTTCCTTGTGTATAGTAAGTCACGTGTTTTCATGAGCAGATCATGACATATTGATGTAAATGGTCAAAATCGTGTTTCCTCTTAAGTGTATGGGAACAAATCAAACTGCTCTGCCAAAAAAAAAAAAAAGCTCATGTACTTTTTCCAGCGTCAGGCGTTTTTCTACGCTCAGGTGTGAACCGCGGCTATAGAAATAAATGGGATTTCTTGTCTTCAGCGTGGACAATTACGCGTGTCAAAATGCCTAGGTGTGAACGGGGCCTAACATTGCACAGGTCAAGTTGCTATACAAACTGATAGCAGGGTTGGTTTAGTGCTAATCAGTTAAAAACATAATGCAGTTGATAGAATCTATAAATATTAGAACCTCAAACCAAATCAGGAAGGACTGGATGTGTCTCTAAAAGCATCATGACTGATAGTAATTACATGAGCAGGATAGCACTTTTCCCTGTAATCCAGAGAAACAATAAACATGCTGAATAGGAAGTGACAGCTTGGATGTTGCAAAAACAGTTGTTAAATGTTTCAACACCGGCAGATTGTATTTGACATTTTACATTCTATTTCATCTCATCCTGGCATCGTCTTCATATCTTGCATTACAAATGAGCACTTTGTGTGACAAGCCATTTTAAAATGTAAGCACTAGTTCCTAATTTTGCTGCATTATTGAACACTGTTTCTCAGCGTTTACAGTGCCAGGGAAATTGATTGATCCCCAAGCAAGCTTCGTAACTAATTTATTATAATGATGCTCATTAGGAAAGTCTAACCATTTTTTAGCTCTGGAATAAACTTAGACTGGCAGGATACAGATGTAAAAGATCAGCCTCAGCAATCCATTCTGCATCTGATATGGACATCAACTGTCAATGCCTGCCAATACCCACATCACAGTCATATTGAATATGGGGGCAGAGCTAAGGACTGGTGGCCATTAGGACTGCTTGAAGAAAGTTTTTTTTTCAACTGTTGTATCCCTTTAACCCCCCCTCATGACCTTCAATAGATTGTGCCTTCAAGGGCATCAATATGTTTTGCTCCCACCCCCTTCACAGTGATTGTGGCTTTCAGCAACAGCACCATGTTTGTGAGAAAGTAAGATTGATGTCCAAGTGAGGAAAGGCACACTTCCCTAGGATGGAAAGCCACCAATGCAATGCAAATGGTTAATATGACTGATGTGAATTTATTTTATGTATATTGTTGGTGATATATAAATACATGTAATAAATAAAGACATAATTCCTAGAGAGGAAGTAGGGTAGCATGTAAGGCCCTGTTCGCTGAAATGCAATTAAAACTCCCCAAACCTCCCTTGCGACCACCCTGGTGTGAATGGGCTATAAGGCTGCTAAAAAATGCATGTTTATAGATTTATAAAGTTCATGAATTGTTTTATATTGGTTTTATTATTTGTTTAAAACCCTTTAAAAAAAATAAACATGCAATATAGGGAGGTCATTTTAAACATGTCAGCAGGACATGCTGGGCTTTCCAGTAAGAAAACCCAGCATTGACAGTGGGCTGCTTCTTTACTTCTGCTGAAAAACTAGAGGGGTCACTGCTATAAGAAAGGTAAGGGCTTGTGTCCCTTCTCTGACTTGGGGCTTGTTCACACCATGTTCCTTGAGTTGCGGTTTCCCATACTCCACCTTACATGTACGGCGTGAACAGGGCACTTAAAAACAATTGTTTTTTATGTTTCCTGTTTACTCCATGCATGTGCAGTGTTGTGTAGAAAAACACAGCTTAAATAACATGGTGTAAAGAAGCCCTTATCCAGCTGGGTGGTTAAAACAATCTTCTAGTACAGTCTTTCTCAACCATGATGCACTGGCACACTGGTGTGCCTTCTGGCTTCCCCAGGGGTGCCTCAAATTTTTTAGTAGTGGGACTGTGATGTTAGGGGGGCTCCTAATGTAAAGGGGGAACTCTGATGTGAAAGAGGAGGACCCTGATATGAAAGCGGCGTTTCTAATATGAAAGAAGGACTTCTGATGTGAAGAGAGAATACTGATGCAAAGGGTGACTCTGATGTGAAGGCCATGTTCTTGCATTAGGTCCCCCTTAAAATCTATGACAGACTGGGGCCCCTCAAGATTTTGCATACTTTTACACCGGGACTAATGAAGGTTGAGAAACACTGTTCTAGTATTCAGATCTTTTTACAATAGAGGCAATCCACTGCAAGGCAGTAATGCATGTTTGAGAAAGCCTAGACAAATAGCCTTGTTATCTGCTGGTTGTAAGTGGTACATTTAAAATATTCATATTTCATAATTACCCTAGTTGAAATAGTGTTTTAAAAACATTACCCTTTTACCAACCAGTGTGATTAGAGGTATCATAGCAAGTATGATCTTGCAACTCCAGTTTCTGTTGATTAGGAATCTGAAAATGTTTTTGCCTAATGCATTACTTGGCAGATGTCAGTGTAAACTAAGCTGAAACGAGGCTGAAACTTATAATAAATCAGTTCCATTACTAGAATTACATATTTATAGCTTTGTTTGCTGTACCTGAATGAGTGCCGAGAAGGATATGATCCATATGAGACATCTGGCTGAATTCTTTAGATGCGGGCAGAGTGTGAATGGTCCAGTCTACAGCTGCATCTCCCTGCAGTTCACATAGAGACTGGAACAGAGATGGCAATGGGAAAGGTAGCTCCTCTAGTGAACTTCTTCGGGCTGCAAGTTTGCGACTTCCTTTATGCTCACTGCACAAACCTGAGGAGCAAAAAGAAGCACAAAAAAATAACAGGGCCAGCATATAACCTTTTGTATAACAGCCATACTAACACCAGACACCTGGGTTTAGGGGTGCAGTGATAAATACATGACCTTATGGGATAACATAACTACATCTTATTTGCTAAAGCTAAGTGATAACTCAACTTCTTTTACCCATTGAAGCATATCCAGGTATTTTTAGGAATACAAACTAATGTGTGCATGTACATGCTGCTTTAGAGGTAAGAAGCAGACTTGTAGAAGGCCTTTACCAGTATAAGGCCCACTCCTAATATTTCAGCTTTGCATGTGCTTAGAGAGGCTAAAACACTTGTTGATTAATTAGAACTTATGGCCATTCCAATAGTGAGATTTCCCAGCAGTAGTCTATGTCTCTGCCCATTCTCACAGTAGTATAACAAAAGGTACCAATTGTTGTAGTTGAATTTACCACATATGTATTTATTTACATGGAGAAGCCATGGTGGCATTATTTGGCCTTGCAGTGGTTTCTAATGGTCTTGGTACTTCTGCAGGCTGACGCCCTGAAGAGACAAAGGAAGCCATACTGAAAAATCAGTTTTGGATAAGTTTGGCCTTTAAAGAAGCCTTAGAAGAAGAAGAAGAAATAAAATGCCATATTTTCCTGGAACCCCTTGCTGCAATAACATCTCATCTTCTTATAATACTTTACAACTAAAGGACCCCTGTGCCATTGTTATTTGCAGTGCTTGACCATCCTAAAACCTTATTTTCTAGTTTTGTGTAGTGACAAAATAAAAGAAAGCAACTAGAAAAAGGGTTGAAATGGAATGGAAATAATGAAATTGCAGTCAGTTATTGTTTAACAAAAGAATACAACATTGATTAAAGGTTCTTTAAAGAAAGATGAAAGCTGCAGTAAAATGCTCTCTTCCAGTTTACCTCCTAGATGTTGTAGAGTACAATAGAACCTCAGCTGCAATGTAAAGGGTCATTATAGCCAAGTGGTATCATTTTTAGAAAATGGTTTGCATAAAAGATGATTTAATCACTTTCAAGGATCAATGAGCCAAAGTTTCAAGAGATCAAAAAAAACACAAGACACCTAAAGCCTAAGCCATCACGGGCAGGGCCTTTCTTACCATCTTGTCTTGAATTGTATTCTGATTGTAATGTCTTCCTTATATTGTAAAGCGCTGCACAAACTGTTGGCGCTATATAAATCCTGTATAATATTAATAATATAGACACACAGCTGACTACTTGTCCTGATGCCTTTTGAAGAGACACGAAATGGGCACAGTGACAGTGTCTCCTTATGGCACCCTTCTGCCCACACCCCTCCCACAGCAAGGTATTCTCACTGATCCATGATACTTTGTCACCTACCTGCTCCAATAGAGCTTCTGGGTATGGAGGAAACATGTGGCCTCCCCTATGTGACAGTATTTAAGGCTTATTTCCAGGTTCTCACTTGGTGAAGGCTGTGACACCATCCACCCTGGTAAACTCTGGAGCTTATCCAGGGTAGATTCCTGCAACATGGAGACACTGAGGGAGTATGTATTGTTGAGTGTCAGGTAGGTGAGCTATCAGGAGGAAATACCATTGTGCCCTGAATAGACAGTGCTTCTTTGAAGATATCAAGTTTGCTTAACTATGAGGTTTGTCACTTGTCTTAATTATTACTTTAGCAATGGGAGCCAATGAGCTAAAAAAAAGTAATTGCTGTTATGGTAGACCGCACATGTATTACAGGTTAGTGAACTGAGTCTATAAAAAGAAAGGGACTGTATTTTGTTGCTTCCTTTTGTCTCTGGTGACAGCTTACATAAAACAAAAGGCTTCACAACAAAACTGGATAGATGTCAAACATATTTTTTAGTTTATAGTGATGATTGATTATTAAGTGCCTATAGCTATTGTGATTTATGTGCACATTCATTTTAGTACGTTCTGTCAGTGTACTTAAAGGAAACCTTTCCTGAGAGATATGGACGTTGCCATTATTGACTACTCATGTAGATCATGACTTCTGACTTTACGCTGAGTTTTCTGTTATGTATACTTGATCTATGCGAGTAACTCAGAGAGCACTAAAGGTAGAGTGTCAGCCCGACAGCCAGTCAACTTGCATTTTCAGCAGACAGCCAGCAGTGGCAGCTCTGTATCTCAGGATTTGAACTCTGATTCCTGGTGACTGTAGCATTTCACAAGGATCCTGAGATCTGTCAAATTTTTTGCACATTAAAAAAGTGCCATTGTAGAAGGGCAAAAAGCAGACAAATTAGATTTTTAAACTACACATAGCCCTCTGAAATCCACTTGATGGACCCTGCCAAGATTAAAAATTGAAAGCAGAACTTCAGGCCCAAATGTATTTATATATTTATTTGATTACATGCCCTTTGTATTTTCCTGTCATGGATAGGGAAGGGAAGGTAAAACGCACACACAGGATGCACACACCACTCACACAATTAATGAGCTTGCAAGAGACCCACACTCTTGACACTTCTAGTCAGAAGACTCGGCTCGCCAGGATATAATAAGCTAGTATGTAGGTTTTTACAAACACAGAATTAGCTTTCTCTAGCAGTTAAAACGTTAGATAAATCTGTCACTTTCCATATAGGGTTAGTGCAGACAGTAATAGGCTAGCTTGGTGTCTTCAAATATGTGCATACTGCATACTATAGAAATGAATTGGTTTATTAAAAGAAGTAATATAAAACCAAGCAGCCCCCTTCCCTAGCCCTAGTTGAGCCTCCCCACCACAGGGGCTTACTTATTTCCTCTGGTGGTAGCAGCCTCCCACGTTGTCTACATCTGGTAGAAATCTAGACTGGGCCGCCCAAGCACTAACGTCCTACAGACTTAAATGGCACTAGATTAATGGACTATAGGAACATTATATATAATGTATGAACTTTTTTTTTACTTATCCCAAACATGGTGGACAGTTCTTATAATTAAAACTATGGGACAATTAAAAAAAGTATAGATATTTGTATAAAATAGGATGGAATAAAATAATACACAGATTATCTAAGTGCACCTCTGCTCCAGGGGTTAGGTAAGGAAAATGAACAGTATACCCCCAGACAGTCATCAACTGGACCCCAAGAATACCCTGTTTCCCCGAAAATAAGACCTATCCCGAAAGTAAGACCTAGCACTATTTTTCAAGATTTCGGTAATATAAGACCTACCCCGAAAATAAGACCTAGTTTGGTGGTAGCATGTGAGGGGGAAACTTGAAGAGCAGGAGAGATGGTATCAGCCTGCAGGGACATACTGTATTAAGGGGATGACAGGGGACTCCCTCCGGCCAGCGCAGTGACAGGGAGCACTCCAGTACCATACTTCAACTGCTGTCCCCCTGAAGGCACTGCTTAATGTAATGGTACTGTACTGTAATGTGTACCGGTAAATGGTACCATACTTTACTGGCTGTCCACTGTCTGATGTCCCCACTGCTGCACCGCTGGTACCACTGTCCCTGATGGCAAAGCATGCCAGCGCTGCAGAAAGCAAGGCTGCGTCGGCGGAGGGAGCAGAGCCGCATTAGCCGATATTCCTCTACAGCGCTGGTTACTGTGACAGGTGGAGTGATACCAGATAACTTTAGATTGTTGTACATTTTGTTGCACAGTATAAAAAACAAAATAACACATCCCCTGAAAATAAGACCCAGTGTGTTTTTTGGGGGCAAAAAAAATATAAGACAGTGTCTTATTTTCGGGGAAACACGGTATGTTCCATGGTGAACAAATACCACTCCTGCCTACAGTGGATAATTCAGCCACAGTATCTAGGCAGCTAGTCACCAGGCCATTGGACTTGTGCAACCAATAGCCACATAGGAATTTCAGTGGCAGTGGAAGAATACAGAAAAATTAGCATCAGGTGAGCTATGGTTCTTTCTACCAAACTGTGATCTTACTTTTCTTAGACAGGACAGTGCTTTGTCATGGAGTGAAAAGGATTTGGTGCCACCTAGTGTTCTCACTGGTGCAGGTTGAGGGGTTCCAGGATGCATGTCTAATAGGGAGGAAATAGTTTTTTTTCCAGTTTCCTCTGGCATAAGTAAATCCTGGTTTAGGCCATGAAGCCTGGTTTAGAGCCTTGGGTAGAATGAAGAGCCAACCCTAGGTCCATGTTTTGGTGGTAACCAGCACCTACTGATTGTTCAGGTGTACACAAGGGTTTTATTATGGGAGCTAAAAACAAAAAGGAAGACGTCACAAGCACTCCAACAACAATAATAACAGCAATTAGATGCTCATTTATTGACAGATGCTGTCTCTCATTGGCAAACGCTTTCGGGGGCCACACAGGGTCCCCTTCGACAGACACAGAGATGACAGTACAGAGATAACATATAGTAATTTATATAGACATACCCATCAGTGCATATTATGGGAGCTGACTCTATCTCAGTGCTCCACCTAGGAGACAGAGGAAGTCTCAACCCAGGAGACAAGAGGGCTCCATCCAAGAGAAGGTAAGCCACTGCAGTTCGGAGCTGCAAAATGGTGTGAGCAGAGAGAGTTGTGACAACTGTCTGGAGGAGAGACAAACAGGGACCTAAGCCTGTGGACCAGATCAACAGGGCTGCAGAAGAAAGCCAGGAAACTGGAGTGAAGTATTTGTGTTTGGAAGAGAAATTCTGAATAACCCTTGCAAGGGTAACTTTGTTTGTATTTTAAACTTTACTCTTATAAAAAGTGGGCAAAGACAGCTCTTTAAAGTTTTTGGTTAGGTTATGCATCCTTGAATCGATACCTTTAACTTTTTACGAGGGGGTAAGTAGAAATCTGGATGGAGGGAGATCGGTGGATGTGGTATATCTGGATTTCTCAAAGGCTTTTGATACGGTGCCACACAAACGCTTGTTATACAAGCTGAGATCCACGGGCATAGATGGGATGGTGTGTATATGGATAGAGAACTGGCTACAGGACCTAGTACAAAGCGTATCTGTAAATGGCAGCTTTTCAGAATGGGCTAGTGTCATGAGCGGTGTGCCTCAGGGTTCTGTGCTGGGCCCCATGCTGTTCACCCGATTTATTAACGACATCGGGGAGGGTGAGGTAGCAATGTTTCAGTGTTTGCTGATGATACCAAAATCGGGAGGGTAATAGAAACGGACCTAGACAGTTTAACATTACAGGAGGACCTGGATAAAATAGGGGAGTGGGCTAATATATGGCAGATGAGGTTTATTGTCGACAAATGCCAAGTAATGCACTTTGGGAATAAAAATAAGCAAATGGGCAAATGGGAAAAGATTTGGGGGTCATTGTAGACCACAGATTGATTAATAGCTTGCAGTGCCAGACTGCTGTAAACAAAGCAAGTAGAGTCCTGTCCTGTATTAGGAAGGGTATTTATTGCAGAGACAGGTCTATAATTTTGCCACTTTATAGATCACTGGTTCGGCCTCATCTGGAGTATGCGGTCCAGTTTTGGTCACCAGTCCGCAGAAAGGACGTCCTTGAGCTTGAAAGAGTCCAGCAGAGGGCAACCAAACTAATTAGGGGAATGGAGGACCAGAGCTATGAGACAAGACTACTAAATTTAAACATGTTCACGTTAGAAGTAAGGAGATTACGGAAGGGATATGATTTTCATGTACAAATTGTTTAATGGTGACAGTAACATTAGCAACAAACTCTTTACAATTAACTCCATTACAAAGACTAGAGGCCACCACCTAAAATTGGTGGAAAAGAAATTCAAGCACAAGGGGCGAAGGGGGTTCTTCACAGTTAGAGCGGTTAGGGTCTGGAACTCACTGCCAGAGGCAGCGATCTCAGCTAAGAATGTGGAATCATTCAAGAAGCTGTTAGACGATTTCCTGAGAAACCATAACATACAGGGATACAGGTACAGTTAACAATGAACTGATACAAGGACCGATGTGTGTATGTGAGGGTGTGTTTGTATATATGCATGTATGTGTGTATGTACATGTATATATGTGTATATGTATGTATATATATATATATGTGTGTGCGTGTACACATACGCACACATCAACAATAGGTTGGACTTGATGGACTTATGTCTTTATTCGACCTCAGATACTATGTAACTATGTAACCTTTGAGCTGATCTTTCCACAGTACATATTTGCCTAAGAACATAACTGGATTGAATGGTGTTTTTTATATTTATGTCTGGTGTTTCACTATAATGAATGAGGCCTCCTGCTGTTCTAAAGTTCATAAAAGCTACTGTTTGTTAAACAGTTTTGAAATTAAGTACTTCAGACAATGTTTCCATGCACCTTTTACAGCGATAAATCATAAGTTGCAGTTTCTGTCATTATGTTAATTACCAGAGTTCTGTAATATCTTTTGGAATTAAGAAGGTGGGTGCAGTAGGTCTAATGGAGATTTCATATACCCATAGACATATAACTCTCAAACCAGCTGCTTAGTGAAAAAAAACTGATTGGACAAGTTTAGAAAACCAGTTCTGCTTACCATTGTTCACCCTTATAAGCTGGTTCCAGCAATGATAGTCTACAGACAGCCTTATTAGTTTGCCCTCCTGTATAAGTATCTATGTAAAGATGCATAAACCTTACCAGAAGTCTGACTTTTTGTTATATGACTTATAGAGAAAAGCAGTGTATATGCAGCAAAAGGTGATTTTCTGCATTCTCCTGCTTTCAAGATCATCCATCTTCCCCAGATGGAGTAAATATGGCTGTATGCACCTACAGCAGACATAAACTTCCATGAGTTTGTAAAAGCCTGTAAAATGTTCAGTTTTCTCATTCTAGATGCAAACTTAAAAACCTAATTGATATCATCTAGGCTTACTTACCCACACAAGAGCAGCACTGTTCCCAAATACTGCCCAGACACATCATGCAATCCTGGCAGCAAGGACACTCGTCTCCTTTCATGCTGCACTGACAGAGCTCCTGCAGGGAGAATCCATATGACATCATTATAAATGAGACTCTGTCTAGAGAAATCACTCTGAAAACACAATGTTTTCAGATATATACAACTCATTTAATGCAGCAGCATGCACATTTCTGGGGCCCTTTTAGTCTGCTTCTTGTGGTCCTTTGCCAATTTAAGGCCCATCATACACTAGTGTAGTGCTCTCCCCCGAAGGAGCCACTGGAATACCCGATTCAGCCATAGCCTGTCTAGGGGATTTTGGTAACCAGCTGCCCCACTAGCATTAACTGCCCTCTTCTAGTGACCAACAGAGCTGAGATCCAGGCCAGAAGTACGATGCTGAAGAACATTATTAACATATCCAAACTGGGATAAGTCCCTTTCAGAATTCCAGTGCAGATTTAATACAAGCACATACTGACAGAGGGTAGTTGAACAGATGAGCACGGATTGTCACAGAATCTTCAATGGAAGAGACACCAGACATGCTCCTGAGGTCCTCTCTATTCTAGGCACCTCCAGTAGCCATCAGCTTCCCTGGTTCTCCTCCTCAATCAGTAGCAAAGGCCTTCTACAGGCTTGAGGCCTAGCAAAACTTTTCCCGCACTCAAGCATTCCCACCTAGCCTGGGGCAGGCTGGACAGCACCCAGCCCTGGCTGGACTTTGGGCTATCCCAGGCTGGACTGAGCACATGGCAATTCCCTTGAATATATATGCCCTGTCCCAGCATGCAGCACTGGCTTTGAGAGCCCCCGTGATTGGCTGGTGGACTGCACACACATTCACAGCGTCCCATATTGGTTGTCTCACACTACATTGGAGTCACACTCCACTCAGACAAGTACAATCAATGCCAGAACACATGGAATTAACCAGATAAACCTTAACTATAAATCAGCCAGGCTGACTACAGCTCTGGCAATCACTAAATATCTAGTAGCCACTCCACTAAAGATGGTAGGGGCTACACTAGCAATCCTGTTACTGACAGCAATGGAATTGTAAAGAGAGCAAGGAAACCACTTAAAAGTTTCTACAGTGTGAACCTCACTGTTTGGACCAGCAAGGCATCTCTGGATGCTGCTCTCTGGCAAGGAAGTTTCTGCAGCGTTTGTGCCATCGACAGGATCACATGGGCCTAAAGGGTGTCTGCACTGTACTTTAAGGCCCCGTTCACATATAGCGACATACCTTTTGCAGCGGATCCGCACGGCCGGGATAGCGCGACTTTCGGGGCGACGTTCCAGCGACGATCCAGCGACGGTAGCGCCACCTTCCCCGTCGGGCTCCATAGAAAAAAAGTAAAATCGCGCAAAATCCGCCGAAAAAAGGGTCCAGTAGAAGCGACTTGCGACCGCGACGAGCGACGCGCGACATGGAGTTAAGACAGCTCCATTGAATAACAACGGCGACTTCTCGCGATATCGCGCGGCAAAAATGCGCGATATCGCGGCGGAAAATCGCGCTACAATTCGCTATATGTGAACGGGGCCTAGGACTGCATGCCTATTTACTTCTTTGTTTGGGGGAGGGGCTTATACAGGAGTCATGTAGTTGCCCTGCCCTCATGAGCTTACAATCTAATGTATATGTTCCTGTCTAGAGATATATAGACTTTCAGACTACAAAAATATAAAAAATGTAATCAAAGGCTGGACAATGTGTCTTATTTATACAAACAGTTATTTATACAAACAGTTAATATGGGAATGGTTGCTATTGGTAGCACAGATACATCTCCCATGCTTGAGTAGGTATTAAAATAC